ATTTTATTTAGGCTATAAACAAATTATTTTTCGTCCTGAGGTATTCAAAAATAATATTGTCATTGGAGATTTTTTTGTTACCATTCAGATTTTCTCCTTTCTTTTCTTCTCCTTCTACCAATAGTTTTGAGAATGTTGTCACATTTTCAGTGCTGATTGGGGCTTATGTTGAACTGGTGCACATGACTTTCATAGTTTTGATTGGCCAACTAGTTTGGCAGCTATCTTGGACTGAAGCCATCTTGAAACATGAATTGACCATTTTAAACCCTTCTGAAGGTCAAGGCAGTTTAAATTGTTGATTGTAGAATCATTTAGCACATGGGTTACCTATTCATAAATAAAAATGTAGCTATCACACTATAATATTTTGGCAGAAACCACAAAAAAATCTTGTACTGGCCATTTTACATGCTGACCAATTCATTTATTTATAGCCTTAGCTGGTTTTACCTCTTTACTAAAAATAAATCATAAGCTTATTAAAATATTCTACACATCGCATAATTATCACCGGAGTATATCCATCGATGGTCCAATCATTCTGGTCTTGTGGTCTGTTCCATGCTCTAACCTACTCTTAAAAAAAAACTACTTTAAATTTAGTTATACATAACTAACTATTGAGACATTGGATAAGCATCCTACTGTGTAGTTTTAAACTGCTGTTGATGAGGCCACTCTCAGTTACAATAAAATGTTATTATCTTAATCACATCATGTGACTTGCGTCATTGAGGGATGAAACATTTAAATAGAAGGAGGGTCAGTTATACATTCAGTAGTCATTGACTTCAGGGTTGAACCATTTAAATAAAAGGGGGGTTATTTGTGATACACATTCAAGGGTCATTGATTTCAGGGATGAACCATTTAACCAGAAGGAGGGCCAGTTATACATTCAATAGTCATTGACTTCAGGGTTGAACCATTTAAATAAAAGGGGGGTTATTAGGGATACACATTCAAGGGTCATTGATTTCAGGGATGAACCATTTAACCAGAAGGAGGGTCAGTTATACATTCAACAGTCATTGACTTCAGGGATGAACCATTTAAATAAGAGGGGGGTTATTAGTGATACACATTCAAGGGTCATTGACTTCAGGGATGAACCACTTAACCACTTGTAAAAAAAATACAGGGAAAAAAAACATTCAATAGTCATTGACTTCAGGGATGAACCATTTAAATAAGAGGGGGGTTATTAGTGATACACATTCAAGGGTCATTGACTTCAGGGATGAACCACTTAACCACTTGTAAAAAAAATACAGGGAAAAAAAAACTGCGCAGAATTTTGCTGAATGTATTATTAAGAAAAAAGGAGTATTTTTTGTGTATATTTAATTAACTTATTGTCCCCATTGTTAGGTAGAAATAACCTTATTAACATATTGCCTGCTGAAAAACTGCAGGAATTTCTAAAATGAAAAACAGCGTCAACAGGGGATGTGTTAACCTCAGTCGGCAGGTGGTTGACTTGCGGGCATCGCATTAAATTGCCATAATTACACAGCAGTCAGTTCCAAACACTGAATATAGTTTATGCGACAAGAATGCACAAGGGACGGACTGTAACCATATATAATATATAAGTATTGTTGATGATCAGTGTCTTGAATTGTTGAGTCAAGTCAATGTGACTTATAAGACTCTACTTGATTGGCTACAGAACCCTAACATCTAACAGTCAAACCAATCAGAAAGCAGATTTTTTGTTGACAAGTTTTTCAACAAATTGAATCATGTCTTCAATAAATACTCTACTGAAAATGTCACTTGCCGCAAACAAATTTAAAAATCTGAACTAAATTATACTGATGCTCAAAATAACAAATTTATATATATTTATTTCATTATTTATTTATTCCTTTTATAATTTTTTTTCCAGATATGCGTACCTAAATGAGATGCCTGTGAGTGAACAATTACCTGACAAAAATAGCAATATGAACAATAACAACAACAACATGGAAATGCATGGAGATAGAAATGGTTTGTATAAATGAATTCATGTTATAATATTGATCATATCTTGGGATTAAGCCTTCTGTAATGTAATGTATATGTTTTGTTTGTCCATGTCTGTTATATACATAAAAGTAAATACATATATTAATGTGTTCATGCAATCACTATTTATACTGCTGGGAAACATAAACAGCTTTGTTCTTTCAAGATGCTATCGTTATAACTACTGTAGAATACTTTATTTTCACTTGGAATTTATTTTCGCTATTTTCGCTGAAGTGAAGATTCCGTGAAAATAAAATCCAGCGAATATACCTTTTTTCCTATATTTCACATTAAACTCATCAAAAATCAGTGAAAATAATTTCCATACAAAACGCCCAAAAATCCCTTTCAGCGAAAATTAATTCCAGCGTAAATAAAGTATTCCACAGTAAAACATGAACTTGACTTGAAACATAATTTTTCTGCCTTCTCCTAAAATTGTTTGTACCGGTACTTTGGTGAGCAGATTAGTTTCTGGTCAGTGTAAACGTTTTTTCTGTTCTTTTATTTTTGCTAAAATTAAATAAAAAAAGAATAATACTAGTTAAAGCGGGAGTGTCGTCACCTGCGCACGTGCAGGAATTGAGTTCCAAGCGACGATAACAACACACGCTAAAAACGCAAAGGCTCATGGGTAGACACTTGTTTGTAAACATTGACACGCAATGGCCATCTGACGCATGCGCAGGAGACAACTCCCCTGCTTTAAAACTTACTAAATGTTGAATGAATGTTTTCATCCCAGTGAACTGTTGTTTTAACTCTTCTATAGGTTGCAACAGATCATTGTATATTGTTATTCCAAAGGGAAGAAAAGATGTAAGTAAACAGATCAAATATTTTACTCGCAAACATCCACCGTAAATATTGTATTTGGAACACTATTGTAGATAGAGACATTCAACTAGTGCTTTATTGAAGACATTGGGCTCATGATCAAAATATTTAGTAACCATATATGGTCATGTTACCTCATTAAAAATGCATAAATATCATATCTGGACCACTATTTTAGCTAGAGACATTCAACCAGTAGTTGTGTATTAATAATTAGTAGTAAATACTTCCTAAGTAGATACATCTCTCTGAAGCTTGAATGCATACCTGTATGCTTTTTAATGTTTACATATCCAAAACAACCACTTTACAAGTCACGCCAGGTTGCTGGGCGTTTTTCCATCTCTGATGGCTTTCTTGTTTTAATTTATTAATTATTTGTTGGTATTTTTTTAAAGTTTTAATATCACAAAACACTATTTAAGGAAATCAGAAAAAAATTGTAAAAATGTCAAAATAATAATAATTTCTTTCCTTATATTGCACTTTTCACAGTCAGACTGATCAAGATCACATTACAAAACAAAAAGTTGTAAATACAAAATAATCAGGACAAAATAATAAATACAAGTAACAAAATAATATTCGCTACCAAATTTTTGATTCTGATCGATTACCTAATCCCCTTTGTGAAGCCATATAATATTTGATTTGTGTATCTGTATTGCTGTTTACAGGCTGGATTTATGGCAGGTACAGTCAACATAGCAGAAATCATGACCAGACTGGATTTTGGGGGAGTTGCCAGAGATCCACGAAGGTTTAACTACATATGCAAGGTTAGAAGATCAATATTTTGGGTTAAGTCCCAATTTTAGATGAAGTCCAATATCTGGGACTATTAATTTGGGTTTCATCTGTCCAGAGCTATTTTTCTTACTTTCACAGATCACCTTCAAACTTAACACACAGAGCATGTATAATACCGTAGATGGTGTTATTTCGTAAGTTGATTAAATTTGTTGAAATGACAGTCATTTCGTCTGAAATCTGAAAATAGGAGTTCGTAAATGTGTCTGGAATCATTTCTCGCAGGAACTTATTTTTGTATCATTATTTGTTGTTTGTATATCATCTTTGTTACTAGAAACTGATAGAAACACTGTATTTCTAAGGAAGCAATAAAGTTATCATTATGCTTGTTCATATTTTGAAGCACCGTGTTCGATATTGTCACATGTTTTTACAATGCATGTTAATTGTTTGTTTACCTGAAAATTCAAACACATAACATGATAGAACTGATAGTTTTAAAGATCATAATTGTGCCAAAATTATTATTTTTATTAGGTCTGTTTTTGTAGAACAAAACGATGAAGATCGTTGTAGCCTGTTTTTATACCATTCCAAAATTAGTTAAGTCAACCAAAATCCTGTCATACAATTTGTTCATTCTGTCTCACCTCGCAAAATGTTGAGATATGAATAAATACCACATTGATACCGGTATCTAAAATTAAGAAAATGGCGACCATCACTGAAATTTTTGAAAAAAAATGTATGTTGATTCAAGCTATCCCATATCATTGCTAATAAATTTGACATGCCTTTGTATGTTATTTTGTAATTTGTAGTTTTGGTGATCACTGCAGTTGACTTGCTAAATGTTCATTTGTAACTATTTTCTGCAGGTATTGTCGTTAATTGTGACAGAGAAGTTCAACGAAGTAAGTGGAACTTCACAGAAACATGTTATGAATGTCATTGGTCAAATTGTCAACATCGGTAAGTAGTTATATTTTTAAAACCACAAACTCAAAGCGGATAAGTTTAGAAAGACAAAATTTTACTATTGTCATAATGGTCAATGTTTAATGTGGTAGAAATATTAAAAACAATGTGGCTGGTGTATCTCTGAAGTAAAGATTTCACTGTATTTGAGTTGCTGTATTCTTTTGATAACCTGATTATTGTACATCTTTTCCTGTGTGCAAGTAATAAGTTAGTGAAATATAATGCCAGCAATAAGTATTCTTTCCTGTGCCATCTTGTGTTCAGTGATGTGATTCTTTTTCAGTCACGCTAAGAATGTTGAAACACATTCAAGGGATGAATTCTCATGTTCTTGATGTATATGGTACTTGTCCGACTTAGTCCCCGGGGTACTCAGCTCTAAAAATCATGTGTTTTTAGGAGGGGTGGTCGCTTACCTCCATTACCGTATCTTCATTGTGAATGTGTTTGATTGTACACAAACTCTCGATGCAAAGCAATTCCCGTCATGATGTTTTTTCACACGACTTGACCTGCAACCAATCAGAATGCTCTGTTGTACCGATGCAGTTCTTCAAAAATTCCCGAAGAATTTCTGGTAACTCATTGCTGAAGTAAATTATCAATGTTGAAGTACGATCTGTTGGAAATGATTTCGGCAAATGGCATCATTATGGTTACTGTGGTCTACACATTCACTGCAGTCAAAATCCACACTGTATTATATAATAACAATTACCAGTCAGGAAAAGTCAATGATCAAAAATCAGGTTTTATGATTAGACAATCAAATTAGGGCATTTTGGAGGGGATGGGCACCGAACGTGAACCTGAAAATAGAAATGTCCCAAAAGTAAGGGGTGGGCACTTAGCCGTGCATGGATACTAAGCCAGTCAAATATAGTAATAAATATATAATATGGTATTTGTACACTATACTTCATTTGAGTAATGTCACATATTCAAATAATATTCATATTCATATAAAAAACATATCATTTTGTCTTTTAACAACTTGTTTCTATGAACTTAAATTTCCAAGAATAAATTAATAAATGCAATCATATTATTCCAGTTTGTGAAAGTACCCAGAATATTCGAGAGTGCCAATGCCTTCTGAAGCTTATTGAGAAAGCAATGAAAGACGGCAGACATACCCACGTCGGAAGTACGAAAGTCTGGCAGAAAAAACTGGATACAGTCCACGTGTGGCAAGAAATGCTGAACAATATTGAATTGTACGAGGTAAGTATAAAACGAACATTTGAGCTGATTTGAGGATTATATATCATCTTCCTCGTGCTTTATTTATTACGAGTTACCACTACAGTTAAACTATCCTTTATAGACAGATGGTCTTTATATGGAGGTGGCCTAATTTATTCATTCAATCATGAATATTAATTAGGGCGGGAATTTTAAGGGAGATCATAAGCAAAACGTAAAAACAAACCTACACATTGTACAATGAACAGGTCTTTTTTAATAAAAGTCACTCATTTTCATCTGGATAATTACACACCTTTACTTTTTTACTACAAATTATATCATGTAAATTCACTGAAACAAAGTGTGTCTGACCATAGATTCATTGGTGTATTTAATGCATAAGAACGATTGTCAACGATCGGCGTTTCAGCTCGGACTTTCACACCATCGCCATGCAGTCTTATTCCCCAGTCTCTTACACATATTCTGTCACAGGCGGGAATCAGTCCCATCGTTAGTATTGTCGATTGTACACTGTGACAAAATGCACAGGCAAAGTTGCCGTGTTTGAAAAAACAAACAAACAAGCATTAAAAATGAAGAAGCATTGGTAATAAACAAAATTTACCAAACTCATAACAATTGCTCCAACTCTTGGTGTTGAATCAGAAAGTCAAACGAACCGAAAATGAAACACGATGATCGTACACGCGTCAAAACTGCCCAAATGAAACGAATTTTCTCGATTGCGAATTATTGATATTACCTTTTATAAAAAAGGAGGATCAAAATTGAAAACATCTTTCATTGAGAATAACCCTGAGATGAACCCTCAGTAACAATACGTTTTGCCCATGCGCTAGCTTCATTAGCATAATTTATAACGATCAACAACAAACAACATGGCGGCCAAAATGGGTCGGATTTTGCAACCCCGCGATGAAAACGAAGTAAACGAATGTTTATTTATTTTGTTTGGATATTTCATGTTGACAAGGTAAATAAAACATCTCTCATTTAATAAAACTGGTTCATTTTTCTTGTTTTCGAGACGGGAGGAATTTGCTCTTCATGTGCGAAACAGTCCACAGAAGTGCCGCTGGCCGGCTGGGGATCGATCGTACAGTACCAATCGGAAATAAGCTAATTTTTCATTTCAAATTTTGAATGAAACTGTTTTGATTTGTTGTTAAAATCTTTCCAGTCTCTAGACGTTACATTCAGATGATATTCAACTTTTTGTTTTTACTTTTTCGCAACTTCACAAACCAAGTTGTGTTGGTCACCCCTGTCTATTAGTCCTAAAGATTGCGTACTCGGTAATCTGAACGGAACATATGGCCACTTTCTTTTTAGTAGCTATTGTCTTTTTGCTGAGACCGTCTGATGGAAATGTTGGTGGTCGTTATACAAAGGTTAAAGTGTGAATAGGTCTACAATAGGGTGGTCGTTGGTCGCATTGGACAGGTGGTCACTATAATCCAGTGTCTTTAACGTGTAAATTGCGAAGGGACTGTACTAAGGTGGTCGCTATGAGCAGGTGGCCACTCTGCACAGGTTTGACTGTATTTAGGACACCAAAAATTAGTCAGAAATGATTCCTATTGTAAAATTATTTCTTTATATCTCAAAATTTGGCTTGGTTTCATGGGATGAAAAATATATATTATTAGTCTCCGTTCAGACAAAGTCTGAAAACGGGGACTTATAATTCGGTCTCCGTCCGTCTGTGCGTTCGTGTGTTCGTGCGTCTGTGCGTCCGTCCAGAGTCGTATCTCAGAATCCCTTGGACCGATTCTGGTCATTCTTTGCATGTGCCTAGTACTTTATGTGGGACATATGCACATGCAGTGGTTTAGCGATTCGATTCAAAATAGCCGACTGGCAACCATCTTGTTTTTTGAAAATGTTGTATTTTGGACATGCTTTGTCAGTTTTCATTCAAACTTGGTACATAGATTATACATGTTAGGATACATGTCCATGACGATTTATTTCACAATTGGATCAAAGATGGCCGACTGGCAGCCATCTTGTTTTTTGAAAATGTCGTATTTTAGACATGCTTTGTCAGTTTTCATTCAAATTTAGTACGTAGATCATACATGTTAGGATACATGTCCCAACCGTCCGTGAGTTCCTGAGTCTTTCCGTCCGACCGTCCGTCTGTCCGTGCGTCAGTCTGTCCAACGTAATATTTCAGAATCCTGTGGACCGTTTCCGTTCATTCTTTGCATGTGCCTAGTACCTTATGTGGGACATATGCACATGCAGTGGTTTAGCGATTCGATTCAAAATGGCTGACTGGCAGCCATCTTGTTTTTTGAAACAATTTTGAACATGCTTTGTCAGTTGTCAATTAAACTTGGTACACAGATTATACAAAGATGGTCGACTGGCAGGCATCTTGTTTTCGTTTTTTAATGCGGTATCTTGGATGTGCTCTGTCAGTTTTAAATTTGGCACATACATGTACTTTATAAATTTTATAATTTATAAATTTGTTTCAAAATCTGGTCAAGGATGGCCGATTGACAGCCATCTGACTTTTTAGCCTTACTACTATATTTCCCCAATTTATGTACCATTTTTACCTTGCCCGTACCATCAAAGATGGAAGGGAAAGGTATATTAAGGGAAAGATTTTGTTCGGCGTTGTCGTCGTCGTTGTTGTTGTTGTCGTCGTCGTCGTCGTTAATAATTGTTATTGTGTGCATAATAACTTTACTAATTCTATTCCAAACTTTATCAAACTTGGTCACCTTATTCATCAGTATAAAGTCTTCCCTGAGTTTGAACAACAGATGTCCTGTATGAAAATATCATGCAAAAATTGAGAAAATCTGATAAAATATTTTGACTGTTTCTACTTGACTGATCACTGGTGATACACATCAAAGGTCACTGATCTCAGTGGAAATATGCATTGTTGTATGTGTTCAATGAAGCAAATTATTTATCTTGTAATAATATCCTTGGTAATGTATCTCAGAATCCCATACTGGGTTTCAAAACCAACTCATGGAGAGATTGCACAGTCTGATACACATTTGCAAACCTACCAAT